CTCATTGATATGCTAATTTTCTCTGCCCCCTCCCTCTCTCCGTCCCTGCCCTCCTCTCTATATTTAAGGGACCGTCACAGAAACGACCCCTCTCTTTGTGCCGATATGTGTCCTCTCTCTGTGTGTCCGTGTGATGTCTGTCTGCTTGTATGTCTGTCTATAGTTTTCTAGTTAGATTTTTTGTTGCTATTTCTTCTTTTTTTGCCTGATGATGATTGCTTGTGTTGCAATCGAAACGTCGTAATATGCTTTTATTTTAATTTATTATTTTATCTTTAGACGTGACTTAACCGAAAGAACCAAAGAATAATTCCTGCAGTCACGAAAGCTCCATAATTAAGATTGAACCACTTCTACGGGGAAGTTTTAAGATTTTCTTTTTTCTCTCTCTGGCTATTTGTTCTCTCTCCTTGTGTCCTCTCTTTGGAAGTTTCACACTTAAACTCTAACTTAGCAATCTTTGAGATACGTAATCAACCAGGCTATGCGTTAATTGTGTGTTGACCGACTCTCTGTGTTGTATTACATCACATTTCGATATTTTGCGAGGTTATTTAATTTTAGTGTGCCTTTCTCCTAATTTGCAAGCTTGCGTGCCGTGCCACGTCGCCATCTTACTAGAGTAGCAGCAGCACTTTGCCACTCATTGATATGCTAATTTTCTCTGCCCCCTCCCTCTCTCCGTCCCTGCCCCCCTCTCTATATTTAAGGGACCGTCACAGAAACGACCCCTCTCTTTGTGCCGATATGTGTCCTCTCTCTGTGTGTCCGTGTGATGTCTGTCTGCTTGTATGTCTGTCTATAGTTTTCTAGTTAGATTTTTTGTTGCTATTTCTTCTTTTTTTGCCTGATGATGATTGCTTGTGTTGCAATCGAAACGTCGTAATATGCTTTTATTTTAATTTATTATTTTATCTTTAGACGTGACTTAACCGAAAGAACCAAAGAATAATTCCTGCAGTCACGAAAGCTCCATAATTAAGATTGAACCACTTCTACGGGGAAGTTTTAAGATTTTCTTTTTTCTCTCTCTGGCTATTTGTTCTCTCTCCTTGTGTCCTCTCTTTGGAAGTTTCACACTTAAACTCTAACTTAGCAATCTTTGAGATACGTAATCAACCAGGCTATGCGTTAATTGTGTGTTGACCGACTCTCTGTGTTGTATTACATCACATTTCGATATTTTGCGAGGTTATTTAATTTTAGTGTGCCTTTCTCCTAATTTGCAAGCTTGCGTGCCGTGCCACGTCGCCATCTTACTAGAGTAGCAGCAGCACTTTGCCACTCATTGATATGCTAATTTTCTCTGCCCCCTCCCTCTCTCCGTCCCTGCCCCCCTCTCTATATTTAAGGGACCGTCACAGAAACGACCCCTCTCTTTGTGCCGATATGTGTCCTCTCTCTGTGTGTCCGTGTGATGTCTGTCTGCTTGTATGTCTGTCTATAGTTTTCTAGTTAGATTTTTTGTTGCTATTTCTTCTTTTTTTGCCTGATGATGATTGCTTGTGTTGCAATCGAAACGTCGTAATATGCTTTTATTTTAATTTATTATTTTATCTTTAGACGTGACTTAACCGAAAGAACCAAAGAATAATTCCTGCAGTCACGAAAGCTCCATAATTAAGATTGAACCACTTCTACGGGGAAGTTTTAAGATTTTCTTTTTTCTCTCTCTGGCTATTTGTTCTCTCTCCTTGTGTCCTCTCTTTGGAAGTTTCACACTTAAACTCTAACTTAGCAATCTTTGAGATACGTAATCAACCAGGCTATGCGTTAATTGTGTGTTGACCGACTCTCTGTGTTGTATTACATCACATTTCGATATTTTGCGAGGTTATTTAATTTTAGTGTGCCTTTCTCCTAATTTGCAAGCTTGCGTGCCGTGCCACGTCGCCATCTTACTAGAGTAGCAGCAGCACTTTGCCACTCATTGATATGCTAATTTTCTCTGCCCCCTCCCTCTCTCCGTCCCTGCCCCCCTCTCTATATTTAAGGGACCGTCACAGAAACGACCCCTCTCTTTGTGCCGATATGTGTCCTCTCTCTGTGTGTCCGTGTGATGTCTGTCTGCTTGTATGTCTGTCTATAGTTTTCTAGTTAGATTTTTTGTTGCTATTTCTTCTTTTTTTGCCTGATGATGATTGCTTGTGTTGCAATCGAAACGTCGTAATATGCTTTTATTTTAATTTATTATTTTATCTTTAGACGTGACTTAACCGAAAGAACCAAAGAATAATTCCTGCAGTCACGAAAGCTCCATAATTAAGATTGAACCACTTCTACGGGGAAGTTTTAAGATTTTCTTTTTTCTCTCTCTGGCTATTTGTTCTCTCTCCTTGTGTCCTCTCTTTGGAAGTTTCACACTTAAACTCTAACTTAGCAATCTTTGAGATACGTAATCAACCAGGCTATGCGTTAATTGTGTGTTGACCGACTCTCTGTGTTGTATTACATCACATTTCGATATTTTGCGAGGTTATTTAATTTTAGTGTGCCTTTCTCCTAATTTGCAAGCTTGCGTGCCGTGCCACGTCGCCATCTTACTAGAGTAGCAGCAGCACTTTGCCACTCATTGATATGCTAATTTTCTCTGCCCCCTCCCTCTCTCCGTCCCTGCCCCCCTCTCTATATTTAAGGGACCGTCACAGAAACGACCCCTCTCTTTGTGCCGATATGTGTCCTCTCTCTGTGTGTCCGTGTGATGTCTGTCTGCTTGTATGTCTGTCTATAGTTTTCTAGTTAGATTTTTTGTTGCTATTTCTTCTTTTTTTGCCTGATGATGATTGCTTGTGTTGCAATCGAAACGTCGTAATATGCTTTTATTTTAATTTATTATTTTATCTTTAGACGTGACAACCGAAAGAACCAAAGAATAATTCCTGCAGTCACGAAAGCTCCATAATTAAGATTGAACCACTTCTACGGGGAAGTTTTAAGATTTTCTTTTTTCTCTCTCTGGCTATTTGTTCTCTCTCCTTGTGTCCTCTCTTTGGAAGTTTCACACTTAAACTCTAACTTAGCAATCTTTGAGATACGTAATCAACCAGGCTATGCGTTAATTGTGTGTTGACCGACTCTCTGTGTTGTATTACATCACATTTCGATATTTTGCGAGGTTATTTAATTTTAGTGTGCCTTTCTCCTAATTTGCAAGCTTGCGTGCCGTGCCACGTCGCCATCTTACTAGAGTAGCAGCAGCACTTTGCCACTCATTGATATGCTAATTTTCTCTGCCCCCTCCCTCTCTCCGTCCCTGCCCCCCTCTCTATATTTAAGGGACCGTCACAGAAACGACCCCTCTCTTTGTGCCGATATGTGTCCTCTCTCTGTGTGTCCGTGTGATGTCTGTCTGCTTGTATGTCTGTCTATAGTTTTCTAGTTAGATTTTTTGTTGCTATTTCTTCTTTTTTTGCCTGATGATGATTGCTTGTGTTGCAATCGAAACGTCGTAATATGCTTTTATTTTAATTTATTATTTTATCTTTAGACGTGACTTAACCGAAAGAACCAAAGAATAATTCCTGCAGTCACGAAAGCTCCATAATTAAGATTGAACCACTTCTACGGGGAAGTTTTAAGATTTTCTTTTTTCTCTCTCTGGCTATTTGTTCTCTCTCCTTGTGTCCTCTCTTTGGAAGTTTCACACTTAAACTCTAACTTAGCAATCTTTGAGATACGTAATCAACCAGGCTATGCGTTAATTGTGTGTTGACCGACTCTCTGTGTTGTATTACATCACATTTCGATATTTTGCGAGGTTATTTAATTTTAGTGTGCCTTTCTCCTAATTTGCAAGCTTGCGTGCCGTGCCACGTCGCCATCTTACTAGAGTAGCAGCAGCACTTTGCCACTCATTGATATGCTAATTTTCTCTGCCCCCTCCCTCTCTCCGTCCCTGCCCCCCTCTCTATATTTAAGGGACCGTCACAGAAACGACCCCTCTCTTTGTGCCGATATGTGTCCTCTCTCTGTGTGTCCGTGTGATGTCTGTCTGCTTGTATGTCTGTCTATAGTTTTCTAGTTAGATTTTTTGTTGCTATTTCTTCTTTTTTTGCCTGATGATGATTGCTTGTGTTGCAATCGAAACGTCGTAATATGCTTTTATTTTAATTTATTATTTTATCTTTAGACGTGACTTAACCGAAAGAACCAAAGAATAATTCCTGCAGTCACGAAAGCTCCATAATTAAGATTGAACCACTTCTACGGGGAAGTTTTAAGATTTTCTTTTTTCTCTCTCTGGCTATTTGTTCTCTCTCCTTGTGTCCTCTCTTTGGAAGTTTCACACTTAAACTCTAACTTAGCAATCTTTGAGATACGTAATCAACCAGGCTATGCGTTAATTGTGTGTTGACCGACTCTCTGTGTTGTATTACATCACATTTCGATATTTTGCGAGGTTATTTAATTTTAGTGTGCCTTTCTCCTAATTTGCAAGCTTGCGTGCCGTGCCACGTCGCCATCTTACTAGAGTAGCAGCAGCACTTTGCCACTCATTGATATGCTAATTTTCTCTGCCCCCTCCCTCTCTCCGTCCCTGCCCCCCTCTCTATATTTAAGGGACCGTCACAGAAACGACCCCTCTCTTTGTGCCGATATGTGTCCTCTCTCTGTGTGTCCGTGTGATGTCTGTCTGCTTGTATGTCTGTCTATAGTTTTCTAGTTAGATTTTTTGTTGCTATTTCTTCTTTTTTTGCCTGATGATGATTGCTTGTGTTGCAATCGAAACGTCGTAATATGCTTTTATTTTAATTTATTATTTTATCTTTAGACGTGACTTAACCGAAAGAACCAAAGAAGAAGAAGAGGTTGTTCTGTTTACGTGACAACCCTTACTAGTTGGCTGTGTCGGGTGGTGGCGGATTTAACATTAATATATTTACGCGATCTAACCCCACAAAACCTGTAATGGATGAATTGTTTAAACCAAGGTTTCAAGTCACTAAAAGATGTCCGTTTTTAATGACACTTGCCGCCCAACTTTTTCTTCCCGTATTCAGGAGCTATCGAGAGTGACAACAGGAGTCGTGCCATTTCCCATCGCCGGTGTTTAAACTACCCGTCTCTTTCACGCCGGAAAGGAGGAGAAGGCTCGACGTTTCTCGAGTGATCTTCCACAAGAGAGCCCGGGCCAACTTGTCCGTTGCAAAAGCATTCGCACGACGACTTCTTCTCCCCAAAATTACCCCGTATCCTTTCCGCTCGGTCGATGTCGCGCGTCATAGAGACACGGGCCTTTCGCAGGGCGTCGGCAGCGAGACGCCCCGCTCCCCCGGTGTCCCGCTCGGACCGGATCCCACCGCCGCCGTCGGCCTCGGAGATGCACGCCGAAGCGGCCAGGTTGCTGTCCTTCTCCGAGGGGTGGCCCGAGTCGTCCCCCGTGCGGTCCGCGGACTTGGCGCGGGCCGGACTCTACCGCGTGGGTCCCGACGACCTGGTGGCCTGTTTCCGCTGCGGCGGGATGATGCATCGCTGGAAGGCGGGAGACGACCCCGTCCGGGAGCACGCCAGGCACTTCCCCGCCTGTGCTCTCAAGGTGGGTGACGCCAGAGAGGGCGCCGGTGACGTTCTGACATCGCTCGTTTGGGGCGATGCGGGTCCTTCCTAATGTGCCTCTGGGCTCTGGGTACCGACTGGAGATGATTCCAGGCATGTTTCGACATCGATGGCGAACAAGTGGAGACTCCATTGGAACCTCATTTGCCAGTAAAAATATGATAATTGTTTTTTTACCCTTCTATCTGGCAACAAAACTAACATCTTTTTTACAAGGAGTCATGTTTGCATTGACCACAATACCTGCAGTCATAATGCAAACAAAAAACATAACTCTGATAATGTATGCACTGTCCTTGAAGTTGATTGGTCCACACCCGAGACAGCTTTCCTTAGAGCCTAGTCTCACATGGGTTGGACCAGATGACGCCAAAAGGCGCACAACTCAACTTCAAGGACAGTGCACATTATCAGAGTTGTGTTTTTTGTTTGCATTATGACTGCAGGTATTGTGGTCTATGTAAACATGACTCCTCGTAAAAAAGGTGTCAGTTTTGTTGCCAGATAGAAGGGTAAATAAACAATTATCAAGTGGAGACTCTTTGACTTTTTGAATCTATTGAGATACATTCGTGGTCGTATTTTTTTTTAATTAAAAACGAAATGTTGTTAATCATTCAGGGGTAAAAATAATGTGGTTTTATTACCAATATGCTTATTGTAAATATAGTAGTGTATAGTGGAGTAGTGTATAGTGTATAATACTAGTACAGCACGCAGCGGTGTGTTGGAGAGCCAAGCCACAACATTTAGAATCTGAGTACGACGTTTGACCAGTAATTACAACAACGATCTTCATCAGGCGACAGCCAGATTAAATGTACTCTATAACTATATAGAACTATAATCTGGGTTTTTGGCATAGAGATCCAGGGAAAATGGTAACTTGATAAAGATATTTAAGGATGCTCCACGATTTTGAGCCGTCTGCAGCTGCCCTGCCCCCGTCATTAGCGCGGATTGGTTTGGTTTGCCGAAATGCCAATTGCAAATTGAGCACAGAGTAACGGTGCAAAAAGTTGCAATTGTTTTGAACGCGATCGGTCGTCGCTCGCGTATTTTATCCATTTTGTCGGCTCTGTGTGACACCGGCGATGATTCTTACTGACGAGATGTTCATTTTATTTCTCGTTTTGAGGCTCAACTACCGGGACAGACGCCGCAGAGTACAACTGCGGAGATTGAGCACGGTAAGGCGACGGATCCCTGCGCACTTTATCAGACCCTCACCTGATACAGGTGAGGGTCTGATACAGGTGAGAGTCTGAACCAGGTGAGGGTCACGACCTCATGTATACGAGGCGAGGTGGTTAACATCTCATAGCCACGGTGATGACGAGGGAGACGCAGGCTCTAGATATACTTCAACAGGCGTCGCATCAGGGTCACGATTGAACCCACGACCAGACGAGGTGGTCAGCATCTCGCCACCTTTGCGCCCCATATGTAAGCAGTCTGATGATCATTTTTGAAACCGCTGAAAGTGTGTGTGTCTGTGTGTGTGTGCTTGCGTCTGTGCGTGCGTGTGTGTCTCTGTGTCTCTGTGTGTGTGCGTGTGTGTCTGTTTGTGTGTGCTTGCGTCTGTGCGTGCGTGTGTGTCTCTGTGTCTCTGTGTGTGTGCGTGCGTGTCTGTGTGTGTGTGCTTGCGTCTGTGCGTGCGTGTGTGTCTCTGTGTCTCTGTGTGTGTGCGTGTGTGTCTGTGTGTGTGTGTCTCTGTGTGTGTGCGTGTGTGTCTGTGCGCGCACTTTGTCCACAGCATCGCCATCGGTCGAGGAGCTTCTGGACAAGCTGGAAGAGCGGCTGTCCTGCAAAGTGTGCATGGAGCACGAGGTGTCCATCATCTTCACGCCGTGCAGACACGTGGTGACGTGCGGCCACTGCGCCCTCTCCCTGAGCGAGTGTCCCGTGTGCCGCGTGGCCGTGAGAAGGGCGCTCCGGGCCATCATGGCTTAGGCGGACGGCCGTGGGAAGGAAGAGAGAGAAACGACCGCCCGGGATTCCGACCGTTGGGGCCAGTTAGTTGATTAACCCCTCCTCCCTCTCCCGTTGCGAGACATAGGCCGGTCGCTGGCAAGCGGTGAGAGGCACGGGGAGGGCAATTTAACTCGGCCACCGCCCTCCACCCATAGATCAGCTTATTTTTTGGTTTCCGGAATGTGAAAGGGTTCATTGATAACGATCAGAGTGTGGTGATTTGAAGGCGTACGATGTCAGACTTTGAAAGTGAAGAAGTGAAGTTTAAGGCTGTTCTTTAATTTGTACTTTAACCAGGATGGTACGCAAAGTTTATTTGTTAACAATTTATACATTTGTGAGTTATTACATTTACAACTCTGTGGGACACAGTGCAATGGGTTTAAGGGTCAAAGATTGCGGTGATTTTAAGGCAAATATACATTTGTGAGTTATTACACTTACAACTCTGTGGGACACAATGCAATGGGTGGAAGGGTCAAAGATTGCGGTGATTTTAAGGCGAATATACATTTGTGAGTTATTACACTTACAACTCTGTGGGACACAATGCAATGGTGGCATGGGAAAGCGTTAACACGAGTGCGGTGATTTGAAGGCGTTTGATGCCAGACTTGAAGTGAAGAAGTTATGTTAAAGACTGTTCTGTAACCTTTATTTGAATTGGAATGTTACGCAAAGTTTCCGTGTGTAAAACAATTTTACATTTGTGAGTTATTACATTTATAAGTGCCGGTAGCCTTCACAGCTGCTGCTACTCGCTACACGGCGGTGGATGGGTGATTTTTGGGCTGTGTGTGGACCGCTTTGTGCTTTTGTTTCTAAAAAGTGGCGGGTTTTTTTCCCTCTCTGTCGCGTGAGAAATAATTTTAGGGGATTCTAGATTTGAAGCTTTCGTGACTGCAAGGATTCATACTCTTATTTTTTTCGGTAAAGTCACTTAGGTAAAAAATGAAATTTAAATTAATAAAAATAAAAGAATAAAAATCCCGACGTTTCGGAGGCAACACAAGCTTCTGACTTCAGGTGAAACTGTCAGCAAAATATATATGAGAACATAGTAACATTGTGTGTCTGTGTGTCTCTCTCTGTGTGTCTGTGTTGTGTCTCTCTCTGTGTCTGTGTTGTGTGTCTATCTGCTTGTGTGTCTGTGTGTTTTGTCTCTCAAATTTAGCAATCTTTGGAAGAACGTAATCAACCAGGTGGGGTGTTGATTGTTTTGCTGGCTGACTCTCTGTGTTGTATTGCAACACGTTCCTTCGGAGTAGGCAGGTAGGAACTTGGTTGGACAGCGCATTCGTGCACAACAGACAGACAAATAATCCCTGGTGGGCAAGTGTGCAACCTGTTGTTCCTACCTGTGTACAAGATCACGTGGCTTGAGGTAGCCAGGTAGCCAGCCCCCTTAACTATTGGCCCCTCCCCCTTGCTTAAGCACCTCCCCTGACCCCCCCCCATATCCTTAGGCCCCTCCTCTGATCCCCCCCACAGGCCCCTCTCCTGACTCCCTCCTCCCTTAGGCCCCTCCCCTCTCCGTACCCGGCAGTAGGTCTCCACCAATCAAAGAGCTGTGTGTATTATATATTTATTTATGCACGACAGACAGACAGATAGACAGCTAAATAATCCCTGGTGGGCAGTGTGGAACATTGTTCCTTCCTGTATTATATTTCCAAGTTTACTATGTTCTAATTCATTTGTATCTGATGATGGTTGCTTGTGTTGCAATTGAAACGTCGTATTCTATTATTATTTAATTTCTTTACCAAAAGAACCAAAGAGCCATTCCGAATTGTCTGGGAATCCAAGCCAAGCAAGTTTATTATCACAGTGACCACACGAGACATTGAACAAACGCTGCATGTGTAGTGGGTTCAAGGAGAGTGGAGACGGCGTGTGAAGGCAACACGTAACGGCAATAGTAACGGCCCCTAACACAAAGGGGTAACGGCCCCTTAAACCGCTACCTGGGGGGGTACGACCCCTGGACTAGCATGGCCTATCACTGGCGCCACGGGCTCTCTCTCGCCTCCGGCTAACGGCCACCTAGGGGAGGCTACACTGACCCGACCCAGCCAAGGTGCGGGTCTCGACCACTGGCCCTCTCCCTTACAAGGACGTCGCGATCTGGGGGTTCCCAAGGTCTCACCACTGGCCCACTCAGTCCCGGCCCTTAGAAGGGCAGCGGGTCCCGGGGGAATTGATAGACAAGTGGAAATCAAGCAACCTAACGAGCTATTTTAATTAATGTTATTAAATAATACAACAAAAATTAATGACAAAAGTAATTTAGATGAAACATGTATGAGAACATTGTAACGTCAACCGTATCTTCAAGCAACGTGTGTTACTAATTCCTCACTCATTAGCCCCATTAGTCAATGGCGACTTCACGCTCATAATAATTCCATCAAACCCGCAGCTTTAACTAACACAATACACCTGAATAGAATTAAGGAAGGCCTATTTTCACCAACCACTAAATATATTAATCTTACATGATTCTAACCCGCCAATCACAAACCAATTAACCAACAACTCTAATGATCTCCTGACGATATCATCAGGCCCCGGAGCTAAAAGCTATTGGGTTTTGAGTGTAACCTGGTCGATTAGGATAATGATTCAACTGACGAGGCTAAGAGAATCGCAGCGAAGGAAGAGAGATCACGCAATGGCTGCGCGGAAGACTCGGCACGCCATTGACCTTGACGGACGACTCTCTGGGATGGAGGGGGGGCTGTCTCTCCGTTCCCCGGCATGCACGTGGCTTGCTTGTCCAGAACCAGGCAGCCATTGAAAGGGAACGGCGGAGGCAGCGAATTGAGATGGGAGAACTCGACTTAAAGTTTCTGACTGGAGGAATTCACATTCTTTGGGTCCTTCAAATCTAGAATCTTTCGGTAAAAGTCACGTAGATCGGTAAGAAAGAAGACAAAAAACGACGACGTTTCGATCGCAACACAAGCGATCATCATCTGGCGTTGCGATCAAAACGTCGTAGTTTTTCTAACCTATCTACGTGACTTTACCAAAAGACCCAAAGAATATGGGAGAGCTCTTGACGGCCAAATCACGTGACCGAGTAGCGCTACACTTGAAGGCTTTGACGAGAGTTGTCGTCACCCTTCTGGTGTGCGGATTTCAGGTTTCCGGCTGTTGGACGTCCCCGCTGTGGAGCAGAGGTCGCAAACGGGTTTTAATTCCTTACCCGTACCCGGCCGCAACAGGGTCGCAAATGGGTACCCGTACCCGGCCGGGTACGGGTAGCCAGGTATCGGGTAGGGTACGGGTATCAGGTAGGGTACGGGTATCGGGTAGGGTACGGGTATCGGGTACCCGGTTGCGACCTCTGCTGTGGAGCATCATAAACTCATTGGGAGCGCTTGCTGTGGAAGGCTGAGTTTCTGACTGTGCTGCAGCTCAAGTCTACTGTGTGTGTGTGTCACGTTTGAATAAAATCTTGAGATTTGAAATAAGGGGCCGTCCATAAATGACGTCACGCACCTAGGGGTGTAGGGGGGGTGTCAGACATTGGTGAAGATGTGTGACGAAGGGGGGGAGGTGAGAAATGTGACGTCACGTCAAAATGTGCAACATTAATTAAATATAGACAACACGTTCTACTTAATTAAATAGACTTTTTAATAAATGTTTTCTCCTACAGCATCAGAATGCAGCGCCGCATTAAATACGCACTACAATGACAATAGTTGAAAGCGATTTGAAGCGTGTTTTATTTTTGTGATATCATATTTGAAGGGAGGTCTGACTTTTTGTGACGCCGTGTGACGAGGGGGGGGGGGGGGTAAAAAATCGTCCAAAACCGCGTGACGTCATTTATGGCCCCTAATGTAAGGCGATTGCTGGACACATTATACTTTGCTTTTGAACGTTATAGTTTGCTGAAAAAAACTAATGTATTGGCATATTTTTCGATGCGACCACCAGCCGGGCACAGCAGTCAACTTCAGAAAACTGAAGTGTGTTCGCCTTTTGGCGTCCTCTGGTCTAGCACCGTTTGAGACGAGGCTCAAAAGAAAGCCGTCTCTGGTGTGGACCAATCAGTTTCAAGGACAATGCACACTCCGTCAGAGCACGTGTTTTTTTGTTTGCATGTTCACAAGTGTGTGTGTGTGTGGGGAGCGGAGGTGTAGCAGTTAGCGCGCTGCGCTATGAACCTGGCGACCCGGGTTCGATTCCCGCTCACGGCTAACACCAGTGACGATTATCTGAACCGGTCCCGGGCCTCCCCTAGGTCGACTCAGCCTTACATGAGTACCTGGTGCGGTGTGTAAACATCGCCACTGGGGAGACAAAGGCGGTCGGGCGTGGTGCTGGCCACCCACCCCCTTCGTGTACCGTTCCGGCCTTCATAGGTGCTCGCTAACAGCACTTGCCCCTACAGTCTGTTAAGGCTACACGGGGGATCTTTGTCTTTGTGTGGTAAATGCAGCCATGATTCCTTGCAAAGGTTTCAGTTTGGTGTTTTAACGTCTTAAACACACAAGGGTTTTATTGTGGCCAGAAAGGGGGAAACCCCTTCGATTATCAAAGCGGAGTTTCCACGCGGTGGGATTTCAATCCACCAATTAGAAGCGAGGGAGCTGCGGGGCGACGCGTCAGCGCCGGCAGCCAATCAGGGCGCGTCTCGCGCCTGCTGTGGGCGGGGCTTCAGCGCGTGAGGAGGTCGCCTTGGTGGGAAGAGGCGCTGGGACATCGCCCAGCAACAACAACAACAACTACCACAACAACAACTACCACAACAACAACAACTACCACCACAGCAACTACTACCTTGTGAGTATTACTAGCACTCTTATCACGACTACTACTTATTACCACCACAACTCTTTTTACTACCACAACTCTTATTACCACCACAACCACCTCCACCCTGTGAGTATAACAACAACAACACTCGTTGTTGTAGTAAGATGTAGGCATTTCTCGCCGCTATGCAGCAACACCCTCAACGCCCCCACGTGTTGTGTTGCAGCAAACACGCCGCGTGGACAATGGCGGACGTGGGTGGGTGTGAGACAGTGGCGGCTCGTCAATAGAGGGCGCAGGGGCGCCGCCCCCATCAATATTCCAGAAATATACATATACAAAATTTATATAAAAATACATAAATAAAATATTTTTTTCATACGATGTGCCGGCTGGTAGTAAGAAAAGCATCAGCATTTAATAAAAACTGGCTTTAATCGGTCAACTATTTTCTATGTTTTTCAATGTGTTTTATGCGGGGCGCCGGACAAATGGATGTCTATGTGAGACTTTACATTTTCGGACAGCATGTGACCTGAAGCTGGTCTCTAATTGGTTTCTTAAAGATTCTCCTCGGGGCGCAAGTCGTTGCGTCCCTGGCCAATCAGAATTGGATACATGTTATTTTATCCAATCTGATTGGTTCTCGTCACCTGTCATTCAAATTTACGCTGTAGGCCACTACTGCGAGTGCGAAGGCGACACCACTTTGACACTTGCTAGGCTGATCAAATTTTTTGTGTAAACAATGGCAGCAGTTCATCCAAATTCTGTAATTTATTTACAAAAAAACCCTTTCACAAGGCTTTCGCTGGAAGAAATAAAAAAGATAAAGGATCTCGGACCGGACCAACCCGATTTACAAATCCAGCAGCAGGCCAGTGACAGAGGACGAAGCTACACACGAAGCTTCACCCGCGCTTGTTATGAGAAACGGAGGTGGCTGGCTGGATGTGATGTTAGCAATTCTCTTTTTTGTTTTCCCTGTCTTTTATTTCAAAGTGTCGGCACTGAAGTTTTGTGGACAACGACGGGGGTAAGAGACCTCAAACATCTCTCTGACAAATGCAAACGTCATGAAAGTAGCCGCAGCCATATTGATAATAGCATGAAACTAACGTTTTTATGTTCAAGTAGGAAACATGCTTTTTGGTACTTTGGTCTGAAATGTATATAAAAGAGAAACATTTATGTTCAAGTAGGAAACATGCTTTTTGGTACTTTGGTCTGAAATGTATATAAAAGAGAAACATTTATGTTCAAGTAGGAAACATGCTTTTTGGTACTTCTT